TATGTGAATTGTCAGGTAAGATTATTATATTATTTAGAATTTATAGAATTATTATTATTTAATAATCTTGTACACCTTAATTGTAGGATTGTACACCTAGTGTCCAGATAAGTGGTGTGAAAATCAATGGTTGTAAAAAAGATGTGACCACAAAAAGCTATACAACACTCTTTAATAGCGGTGGTGTTCCCCCTACCCGTCCCGTTACTGTGTTTAATGTAAGTGAAGTTTTATCATTCTGTATATAAATTATGTTATCATTATAACGAAAAGTGAATTGTAAAAAGCAAACTAGATTTATATTCCTGAAAATATTATTTGAAGTTAATAAATCATATATTAATCATAAAAATTCAAATGATCTATAATAATTAAATATTCCTGAGATTATCCAATTAACCTAAAACTAATGTTGCCATAAGGTTACAAAAAACATTTGAATATTTATATACAGTTTGTACTCACACATAATATAAACAGGGTCTACCATATGCTAAGCCACCGGTCTGTGATCTGAGATTTCGAAAGCCAGTGGCGGCTGACTATTCAAAGGTACAGCCCTTCACTGCCAGGAATGTGGGCACCGCCTGCTTTAATGGGGAGGACTGTCTATACCTAAACGTAATGACCCCGACATTAGACAAGACCAAAAACCTACCGGTGATGCTATGGATCCACGGCGGGGGGTTTCAGGCGGGAGCGGGTGGTGACTACGACGGCACCCAATTGGCCGCCAACTGGGACGTGGTTGTGGTGACCATTAACTACCGGTTGGGAGCCCTGGGCTTCCTGTGCACTGATAGGCCAGACGCGCCCGGAAATGTCGGTCTTTGGGACCAGGCGATGGCCATGCAGTGGGTTAAGCAGTATATCACCAATTTTGGTGGCAATCCCAATGATATCACCGTATTTGGCGAGAGCTCGGGTAGTATATCCATAAGCGCCCATATCCTGTCAAATGTGACCCAGGGCTATTTTAAAAAGGCAATCATGGAGTCAGGTTGGTCATGGTGATACAGGTGCTTAGTAATAATATTTTTGATAACAATATCATTTGATCGTTATTTAGGGTCAGTCCTAACAAACCTCCAGATGCGCTCCAAGGCCTACACAACACGACTGGCCATGAGGTACGCCCAACAGTTAGGTTGCGACCCGAAAACGACTCCGGATTATGTGAAATGTATGCGCTCCACCACCATATCGTTTCAACA